ACTAGAGTGAATAGAAGAGCAGTCCCTTGGCACAAGGGTAGGGTAAGACTATCTGTGTGGGGAACAGCACAGCACAGCACAGCAAGGGCAAAAGATATACTCAGTGGTGTTGATAACCAAAGAGTATAACTGGCAATTCATATACTCAATGGTGTTGGAATCTGAAGAATATAACTCCAGTAAGCTTCTGTCCCTGCATCTTCCTCTTGTGTTTGCTGTTTTTATGTCAGTGAGGATAAATCTTGTTAGAACTCCAGGCTGGTGCATTTTCAGGATGATATAAGCAATAGTCAGTGCAGAAAAGGGTTGGTTTAAAGTTTTAAGTTTGATTTTTTGGGGGTGATGTTTGTAGAAAAGCATCATTTGGCATGTTTAACTGTAGATAGTTTGAGAAACAGGCTGAGGAAGACCTAGTTCATGCTTGGCCCTAACATCACAGCCACTGACTTGTCTAGTCTGGTCTCTGAAAAGAGATGGTGTTCCAAATACCTCCATCTGGAAAAGTGGCTCAGCTGGTCTTTTCTCATCTCATAGCAATGTGGCCCAGAAGACTTAGATCTTGATCTAAGAGGTTATGTTAGGGGGGAAAAAAAAAAAAAAAAAGAAGAGGGGAAGGATTTCTAACTAGTTTCTGAATTCATAGAATATAGTCTGAAAGAGACCTCCTCCTGGCTTTTCATATTATATTCTTCCTGAACATAAAACTTCATTTTAAAACCATTTTGATTTTTTTGCCCCCACCATTAATGCAAGGGTTCTTAAAGGCTTTCATTGCTTCAGAATTTATACTTGCCAGTTTCTATTTTTTTTTCTACTCACATATTATCCTATAGCATAAATTGCTCATCTCCATCCCTTATGTTGTTCCTTACCATGACAAAGATGTAAACAGCAACTACAGCACTTGTCAATCTTTGTTTTTCCAAGCCAGACAAACCAAATACTGTTAGTTTACTATGGGAAAAGGCTATGCTATCCCCCGTTATTTCAATGTCTTTTCTCTGCCCCTTCCCAGCGTGAATTAATCCTGGAGCATTTACAGAATGTAAGCAAAGGTCGCAATAGATTCTTAGTACAATGATCCCCATAAGGCTGAAATTTTCCTCTACCTACTGGAAATACCTTGGCTAATGCATCTTGATGATATTTTTGCCTTTTCTTTTAGCTGCATCAGAGAGACAATTATTCTAAAACCAACCCAGACCTTTCTTCCTATCTCTTATTCTTCAGAGAGTTCCTAATTCAGAGCAAAAATTCATGTTGCTGGACCTCCAAAATGCCTGACCTTGTCCTGTTGAAGATGATCTTTTCATTACTTGTCAAAACATTCAACTACTTCACTCTAATATTCTGTATTGGTGAGGCCTCCCAAATTCCCAACAGCAAATGTGATTTCAGGTACTCCCTTCTATGCCAACTTAATGAAAATACTTAAAGGCCCCCAAAGGGGCTGTGTTAACAGCTTTTTTCCCTGCTAACTCCCTTTCCTGCCCAACCTGTTGCAGGCTCCTCCTTAGCAGGGGTCCCTATGGCCTTACAACTCTTACAACAATGTCCAATTTCCTTCTTGATTTATTAATTTTGTAGGTATTACATTTGGTATTCTGCCGTAAAACTGCTGTCTTCTAAGCTGACAAGATTATTAAAAATGCTTTTGGTCAAGCATCCCATTTCATGAGCTGAATAAAACTCCAAAATGCCAAATAACTTTCTGACTCTATTTCTGATCTCTTGCATATTTAAAGTCTTTTGAGTCTTGTTTCTACCTCACAGAAGAAAAATCACTCTGCACCTTCAGTGTATGTAGCATTTTCATCAGTGCATTTCACATCCTAGTCCTTAAAATTCAGGTAGGACATTTAGGTAGACTGTGGAATACATCTAAAATAGTTTTTCTTCCCAGCACACCCATAAGGTTGCCCTTTTTCGTTTCTCGTTCCCTATTTCAATTACAGGACTACAGAGCCTTTTAGATTTCCTTTATGGTGCCTAATACAACTTAACAAAGTGAGAATTGCGAGAAGTCCTTCTTTTCTCATAGTTTGTCTTCCTTGACATTGAGTGTATTTACCCCTTCCAGCTCATTTTCCAGCACAAAGAAGGGGGTCAGATTTTCTGCCAGCCACATTCTTTGCATCTCACTCCTGAACAAGAGCAAATGTGGTAATTGCTCCAGTATGGGCGAAGCAGAAAGCCCGAAATTGCAATGAACAGAAACATGACTTGGAAAACCCAGGATACCCAACATTAGAATACAGAGGTTGTTTTTCTACAGATTATTCTCTCTTAACACAGTAACGTTTTTCTCAAGTGCGCCCTGATGCTTAAATACTGGTTATCATTTGTGAGGATTTTGGCATAGGAATTTTTCCTTTTCCTCAGCAATTAATTTTTGTCCCTTTCTGCCACACCAACTTCTCACATTTTTGCTAATTAGGAAAGCGGAAACAGAGATCTTGGGAATCCCCAAGGAAGAGAATTCATCCTTGCACGGCCCTCCTGTGCAGTGTGCTCGACTCTGATCTTCCACAACACTCTAATCCAGTTTAAGGGACTGGTGAAGTTGCCGTGCAGCTAGAGAGCACTTTACAGCTTTGCTCTAATACAGAATCAAGGTCTTTTAAACTCAATTCCTAAATCCTTTTGCTTGCTCTCAAAACCCTCTTATTTCCAAGCCCCAGCCCCCTCCCCCCCCTTTTTTTTCCTGATTGGAAAAGTATAGCCCAGAGGCAAGAAGAAAGAAACCGAGACATTTGCTACAGAGGTCATTTTTAAACTACCTTTCTATATATATGAAAACAGAGCACACTGATGACACTAGTAAATTCGTCTTTAATATTCAGCACAGCAAGGGTCTTGAGATTTGTATCTAGGTCGTTTAAGAGGAAGGAAGAATAGGTAGAAAACTGAGGCAGTTTAAAAAAAGATCAAGAAAAATAAGTAAGTAAATAAATAAATAAAAGCTGCCCTGATAGGCAGGAGACTTGGCCTTCCCTCTTTCTGAGCAACATCACTCTCTGTCTGCTTTGCTTCCTCTCATCCCATACAGGTTGTAGCACTCAAGAATAACTGATGCAGCAGATTAGTTAGGACAGGCCTTGCTCTTCTCACTCTGTGGAGGTACAATATCCAAGGAGTGTTTTGGTTTAGGAGACACGTTTTCATCACAGGCGTCGATGCTGCCCACCCTGCAGCCCTTCCTGCTCCCGGCCGTCTTGAGGCCCAAGCCAGGGGAGCTGGTACGAGGGATCCCCGCGGAGGACAAACAGCCTCTTTGGACCTTTTGAGGACGGTTACAAACAGCTCAAGGTGGGCTACAACCAGCACCAGGGACCTCAGGGCTCTGCTGAAGGGCTTTGGTCCAAGCCTCCATCTCAGCCAGCTGCTCCAGCGCCCGGGCGGGAGGAAGAGCGAAGCAGGCGACGCTCCTACCTTCCAACCTTCCCACATTTAGCAGCAAACTCTAGACTTCATACATTACATCTGAAATCCTGGAAGACTTGGGCAGGCTTCATAACCACTTCTGCCCTTTAGGAAGCATTATACAGGGAAAGCATTCACAGATCACACGCATTCTCACCAAAATGCCATTTATTGCAGTATACCTTTACAGGGCATACACAAACCAAATGTTGCATCTTCTCTTAGACTTTTATTTCATTTGTACCACTTAAATAACACAGAATGTCATGTTTGTTTCACAAACTGTCAGTTCAGACTACCAAAATATACAGTTTTTTTTTTCTTTCCCCCTAGCAAGGTTGTGAGGTACAACTGAAGTTTTACCACTTTATCTTCCTGTGCTTTACAAGAATCTTTTCATAGATAGACCTATCAAATAACGTTTCTACATTCCTATACAAAGCGAAGAATTACAGCTGAAATTAACACCGTCTGGTTGGTGCATTAACTTATAAAAATTTGGTCAGTAACAAAAAAAAAAAAAGCCATAATGGACTTTGCAGTTTTACTTAAAAATAGCCAGCTACATGTATGCACAAGTTTTCCTTGAGCATAAAGAAGAGTTTTGAATCAAAAAGGTGATTTTTTTTCTTGGGTTTGTAGAGAAGGCACCAATTTTAGCTGCGTAGCAGCTTAAGAGAATTTTATACTTCATGTAAGTTACCCAGATATTTAAGTTTTACTGCTAATATGCAACATTTATACCAAATGTTGTAATACTCTCCAATCATTCCCTCTGGCTAAAGGGTACAAACCTTTTTATCAGTTGTAAATGCTCCTCCAGCCTTCAGCTGCGAGGATGAAGAACTGAACTTGCAAGCAGCCAGCCAAAGGCCAAGCAGAGGAGCTGTGCAGAACATCACACTTTTCTTCTAACCAACTTGGAGATATTCCGGAGAACCTCAGACCCTCAGGGAGACTTCAGTGCCTTGCATCCGACCATACCTTGAGCACAAACAGCTTCAGGCAGCTGGGCCTTCCTGGAGGTGCTTCTACAGCCTTCGAGTCTGAGATCCCTTGGGCTGCTTCTCTCCAAAGTGCAGAACAACTGAAAGGGGGGCATTCTGGAGGCAAAGGAGTCAAGCGTGCCAACTGCTGTGTATATTTAAGGCCAGCTACACCCAACCTTCATCAAACTTGCCTTAGCTGCTGTGCTTCCCTGCTCCTCAGCTGCAAAGTCAGGATATGGTGCTTTCTACCTTTTACCCCTGTGTGTAAGGTACTGTGTGGTACAGATGGCAGGTCACGTTCTGAGGCAACCACTGTAAACAGTGCACAGTGAGGTAGGTGCTAGAACAAGCCATCAATTACCTGGTGACTACACAGTAGCACAGGGCAGTAGGACCTACAGCCAAGTCTGGATTTGCCATCTAAGAAGAGGGAAGATTTGGGAGGGGACTGTTTAGAAAAAAAAAATCCATTTCTTATTTAAGCCTAGAAGGAAAGAGAGGGGAGAAGGATAGTCTGATGGTATTGGTAAAATGTATTTTTCCATTTATTTTTGGGGTCTTGCAAGTACTAATACAAAACAAAATCAGCTGTTTAGGAATTAGTTCTGAATATGGGATAACATGATGTGATCTTTTCAAAATATAAGTTATTTTAAACCACGCGACAGTCATTTGCTTACCCTGCCCCTCACACTTCCCTTCACTGGAAATTATTTTTGGCTTGATGTTCGTAACCATTAAGTGCTCCATATATGGCAGATAGAAAGAGCTAGAGAACTGCAGTTTACCAAACTTCTGCCTAGAGCAGAGATTTGTTACACTTTAAACATATCTATGAGTTAAATAGGAAGGATCCCTGGTATATGGAGTTTGAGCACTGTTAATGATTTATTCTTGCCAGCCCTTTCCCTAAATATCAAGGGTTTTGTACATACAGTGCTGCCTTATCTTCTTCCCACCGCCTGCCCCACCAGCCTTTAGAGAAACCAACGCAAGTTGAGGAGTTTGCAGTCCCACTTCTGTTTAAAAACAAACAAAATCAAACAAAAAGTTGTGCAAGAAAGCAGGGAATGTTCAGTGTATCCGGATCTACTTTGTAGTTAAAAGAATTTCCAATGGCAAGGTGGTAAGGGCAATACCCAACGATCATATGGCTTAAGTTTAATGCAAAGCGCACAAGGAGGTCCACGTGCAGGGAGAGAAGAGTCCAAGAAAGATGGAATTAAAAGTGTCCTGAAGATCAATGTTTATGCATAGAATTCTTCTTGTTTGTGTGGTTTTTGGTATCCTCCATTAGACTGTTTTGGTTCATCCAGTGAATAGCTTCCTTCGTCTTTCTTCTTCATTCTGTACAGCATAAATACAACTAGAAACACTGCGAACACCAGGCCTACTAATCCTCCAGCAATAACACCTAGAAAGAGGAAAAAGACACAATTTACTTTAGATACATGAGAGAGAATATTGTTATGATTCTATGCTTCAATGTTATTCCTGAGAGCATGGTCCATGACTTCAGCACTTTCAAAACTGAATTTGTCCTTCTTCACCATTTACCAAGAGTGTCATCCTCCCACGGATAGGAGCTTATTCCTCTGCATGAGGCAAACCTACAGAAACAGATGTGCCACGAGATCATGCTGCAAAGCACGATGGACAGAGCAAGGCTCTGTCGTTGAGCTCCTTAATTCGGGTGGCTTCAGAACATTTTCACAGTAAATTGAGGGGAGAGTAAAACAAGTTTAATTGCAAAATTCTGGATAGCTTAGAGGTGGCCACTTTGCTACTAGCACATTGTATTTGTTTCAGCTGCACAGAATTATGAATCACCACCCTCATTTCAGAGGTCTGATAAAAAAAGTCTTGCCTTCATGCTCAGAGACCTACTTGCAGGGTGCAGCTTCTGCATCCTGGAAAGACTCCTACAGGAGTTTGACTTTACTGAATAGAAATTTAGAATATCAGGTACCTCCAAGAACTTCTTTTCTGTCCATTATTCCTGAGGCTCCTGCTGCTTTGGTATCCCTCCCGGAGTCAGGCAGCACTTCAGAGTTCTGGGTGGTGACCAAATCTTCATCTTTAATCAAGATGAAATCTCCCTGTTGGGACATACACAGCAAGTTATTCGTGTTTCTCATGTCTGTTACTGGAGACTTACCACAGCTTTGCATTTTTTTTCAGCTAAAACCCTCCACCAATGTAACATATTAAGCCTCTCATTAGTTCTGGCAAATTAGCGCCCCTTCCTTCAGGCCCAACTTACAACCCGTTATTAAAGCCATCTCCTTGAAATGGTTTCAAGGTTCTTAGTCCTCACCGGATCTCCAGAGCCATCTTCAGACACCTCCTCATGTACGTCCTCAGGAGCCACTGTTGTGAGGGCATCAGTAAAGTCTGCCTCGTGATGGACGGGGAAGTGGGGCTCAAGCATGTCTTTGGTGTCCAGCACATCAGAGCCAGGGGTATTTGGCTCCAGGCCATGGACTGTGCTTGAGACTTCTGAAGGAGTTACATGAACCACCGAAGGGAAGTGAGTGGTGAGACTTCTCATTGTTGTCGTAACAGTGTCATTTATTGGTTTCTCAGGAGGTGAGTCCAAGTTGGGTACTTCGTCTTTCACAGCTACAACTGGCTCCTCTGTCACCACACTACTAGTGGCAGATGGAGATATTACTTCCTTTTCAGTTCGGCTCTCAATCCCAGGAAACAGCTGCTCATTGAAATCCATTGGTATTGCCAGTAATGAGGAATTAGTTGGTTCTGCTGGAATAGTCCAAGTGGGAGACTGATCTGTCAGGGGACCTGGAAAACCAAAATATTATACTTGACCAGTTTAGAAAGATAACAATAGTATCTTCAGGACATCCATCTAAGTGAGGAAGCCTAACCTGCAGAGCCAATTTTAGGAATAATATTTCACTTTGTAATCCTTTTCAGTGGAGCAAGGAATGGGCAGAGCAATGTACTGTTTAGCAGTACTTTATTAGTCATCCGTTTTCCCCTAGGGCACAAGCAGTAGTTTGTAGACAGGCCGACAAGGACATCTTCTATTCGGTACACTAGCTGGTCAGAATGGTTATTTGAGTCTCACCCCACAGATCTTTTTATATGATTTAGAGCAGTTGCCCATGTTCTCAGCACCTTTAGCCACTGGTGCCTTTGGGCCAGGTCTTGTTCCTGGGGAATTTCATCTACCACACAAACCCATGGCTGCAGGCGAGCAGATGATACCATGTTGTAGTTCTCAATAGCTTGCTCTATCCTCAGTAACATCGCCTGAACTGCAGAGTTTTACGTTCAACATTGCATACCAAACCTCTCTCTCATGCAGTGTAGTAATCATTCTGACAGATATTTTCTCCACCCTAAAAAATTTTATTCTGCTTTTGAAAAATTATGGCCCTTGGGAACTTGCACATCTGATGACAGATAAAGCTTGCACTGGATGTACATTGGCAGCTAGTGGTTTTACACACCCTCAAATGGTATCTCTTACCAATTTGTAAGTGAGGGAAAAGGCCCTCATGTTTTCTCAATCCCATGACTGCAGAATAACTATAGTTTCATAACATTTTCCAAGGGATTTTCCATATTAGTAGTAACATGCAGTAGGAACTGTTTCTGCTCCCTTTCAAATCCTTTCTGCTGATTGTTAGTAGCCAAAGCAGCACAAGAAGAATAGATTCGCCTCCCCATTCTGTTCTTAGTTCTCGTATTTATGAAGGCGGATTGTTTCTCTTTAAGCCAAAATGCACATCTATATCCAGGGTGCCACATTCTAGAAAAATCACACTCTAATAGTACAAGTGCTAAGAGCTCACCTGCACCAGAGCCTGAGAAAGCATCATCGTCATCACCAGAAGAATCAAGATCTTCAGGAGGAAGGTTCAGATTGGTAGCTTGCTTTAAAGAGGGAAGAAAAACAGCTGTGTTAGTGATGAGATCACTTAAAGCAATCATGTTGCTGGTCCTCTAAGCGCTCCTAAACATTACACCAACTTTCTCTGCTGAGACTGCATTTTTTGGTCTTTGTTCACTCCATCCTCCTCTTCCCCAAGACAGTGGTTCTGGTTGGTATATTTGGTACTGGGAGGGTCAGTTTTACTATCCACCTAAGCTGCTTCTAGGCTGCCCTTTGGGAAAGAAGGAAGCAGAGAGCTGCATCTCGGAACAGCCCATGCTGGCACTGTGCAAGGACAGAGCGGCATGGCCCGTGTTCCAGCTGCTCACACCTGCAGCACCTATCAACACCTTCATCTGCGAATTACCTCATGACTTGCAAGGGCGAGAAAGGAAGGGGAGACAAAGTGTTTTTGCCTTCTCTGCCGCTTCTGCAGCATTGACATATCTGAAACTATCAACAGTATCGAACTGGAAGTACAATCAAGATTCCCTTTTTTAAGGGTGGACTTTCAGATTTAGTCCTAAAATAGGAGCCAGCCCTCCGTGCAGTTATACTTCCTTGAGCTTTCTCCATTGAAGCTTCAATGAGAAGCTCTTCATGAAGCTTCAGGCAGTACACTAACAAGTTCCGAAGCTGAGCTGTTGACATAAGAAGCTGAATCCCTGTTCTACAGCACAGTTTGTCCTCACACACTGCTCAGAGTTGTTCAGGACATCCAAAGAGGAAAATATTAAATAAAGCAGAGGACTCAGCCACTTTATACAGTGACCATTCTCACTGGCATAGCACTCTTGGTTCATGACTACCACCAACTTTACTTCTGCAAGACTATCGTTATCTAGCCAGTAGTTCCCCATTCTCATATTTCAAAGCATAACCCTGCACTTTTTTCTTCTGAATTTCATCTTTCCACATCCAACACAGAACATTTTCCAGAATTTTGACTTCTATCCCATTCTCAAAATCCCTTCCTTTCCAGCACTGTCAAATTGGAAAATATAGCAGGTATATTGTCAACCAGCCTGGGCCAGGTTCTAATCCTGGATTTACCAGATATTATGAAATTTCACTTTACCATGTAAGAACATACACTCTTACCAGTTTGCACACAGGCCCGCAGTAATTCCATAGCTTGCATTAACATGGTGTCATTTAGTAATGAGCAGAAGACTCACTTTCATCCTAGGAAGAAGCTAGCCAAGATGGGTACGAACCATCAAACAAAGCCACTGAGCTCTTATTGTCAACTTAATTCTTAAATAGATGTATTTATTAACCTTTTATGCTTTACATTCTTTAAGTTACCGGTTTTGTCTTCCCTGCTTAATACCATATCCATCCCCCACATTTCTGGAGAACAACTAGTTTCCAAGATGATTTACAAGCCCATGACACGTTTACAAGACATGACCTATTTGAAGACTCACGCTAGTTTCCATCATCTTATTCAGATCCAAAATCTTAACCCTTCTATAAAATCACTGCAGTTATATGATTAAAAAATGGCTAAATATTTCAGCACTTTTTTTTTGTTCTGCTTTCGTTATTTACTGCAATTGTGTTGAGGGTGAGGAGAAGGGATGGATGGACAGACGGACACGCTTCCTTAGGTTTCTGCAAGCGTATTTCTAGAGTAATTTCTTCTTGCCCTTGAACCTTTTGTTTAGCAGTGTGTCATGAGGTAATCTGGATTTGTCCATGCTTGTTTGCACTGTGCTTTTGCACTCATCCATGGAAACTAGGTCAGACAAGTACTTCCTGTATGTTTTCCTTCTTGTGTCTAAGGTCAGTGAAGAGCTTGTGACTCATACAAGCTGATCTCACTACACTTTCCATATTCTTTTTTTACTGAGAGTTTGCACTCCTAACAATCCTTAATGGACTACCAGGCTTCCAAAACTCCTCTCCTTCAAGCTTCTGTTCCAGTAACTTCATAACTGAAGTGAGACCTCAAAATCAACACCATTTTCTTCTTTTTTCTTTTGCTATTTTTCTCCCTTTCTTTAATAAGCAGTTGGAGTATGAAGAGGGGATGCAATTTCTTCCCAGTGGTAGGATATTATCTCCAAGCAGACAGAAAACACTCTCTCCACTTCTTACTAAAGAAAGGCACTGCCAGTAGAGTCTGAGAACTAACACCATACACCTTTATTTAGGATCTTTCAGTAACAGAAGAGATTAATCTACCTCCAAATCACAATACTCAGAGGTAGCCCAAATAGGAGCTCTTACAAGAAAACTTGAGCAGATTTGATAAACTACAGACCATAGGAAAGGACTGCAGACTGTCAGAGATAAGATATCAGCTCTTGATCTTGACTACCAAGCCAGCACCTATTCCTCCTTCGATATTAATGGATGAGGCTTGTTCGGTCATGCCACACTTCCTTCCCCATTAGCCAATGCATTCAGCAAGCTGATCCACCACACTGCATTCCCCCTCACTCCTCAGTTTCGAGCCTCTTCCCAGGCCGCTGCATATTACACTTCTCTATGGCTTTGTCATGCACAATCCTAGCTGGAATCCTGTGCATTTTCAGGGATAGTACCACCACGTGGAGGGGCTCCACAGAGAGGCAAGCTAAGTGTAGCACGTTCTAAATAAGCAAATACCTGCTCCACTCCCAAACAGAATTGTCTGCCGCTTCTGTCCCTTGTGGATAGGAACTGTACTACTCTGCCCAAGAGGAGAGTAGAAAATATGTTTCAGGATTAAAGTCTGCTTTCCATTGCATTGTATAAGAACTTAGCGTAACTTTCCTTAAAAGTGGACATTTACTTGTTTTCCCAAAGAGTTTGTGCCCAGATGATCCTTTGCCTGATCTCCCTTTGGCTTCCCTTAGAAGCCTGGGATCTCACAAAGAGGGACTTCCTTAGCTTCAAGCACTTGGCAGATAGCACAAGACTATGCACATGTGCTTTAATAGTCAGAAGATCCACAGAGTGATCTATCTTTAAGACATCACCTAATATAATCATACAGAAGCACTAAGGAAACGCTCACCTAATTTATTCAACTCTACAGTTCACAGAATGGTTGTAGTTGAAAGGGACCTCTAGAGATCATTTAATCCAACCCCCTGCTTGAGCAGGACAGCTACAGCACATTGCCCAGGATTGTGTCCAGATGGCTTTTGAATATCTCCAGGGAAGGAGACTCTGCAGCCTCTCTGGGTAACCTGTTCCAGTGTTCAGTAACTCTCACAGTAAAGAGGCTTTTCCTCATGTTCAGCTGGAATTTCCTGTGTTTCTGTCTGTGGCCATTGCTTCTTGTCCTATGATTGGGCACCACCAAGAAGAGTCTGGCTCTATCCTCTCTGCAATCTCCCTTGAAATACTTCTGCACATAAATAAGATCCCTCCTCAGTCTTCTCTTCTTCAGGCTTAACGTTCTGAGCTCTCTTAACCTTTTCTCATATGAGAGATGTTCTAATCCCTTCATCATCTTAGTAGCCTTCCCCTGGACTCTCTCCCACAGCTTCATGTCCCTGGGGAGCCCGGAACTGGACACCGTACCCCAGATGCAGCTTCACCTGGGCTAAGGGAGTCGTTACCTCCTCAGCCTGCTGGCAATACTAACACAACCCAGAATACCACGTGCCTTTTTGGCCACAAGGGCACATTGCTGGCTCAGGAACAACTTGTCCACCAGGATGCCCAGGTCCTTCTCTGTAGAGCCGCTTTCTAGCAGGCCAAGCTCAAGCCTGTACTGGTACATGGGGTTATTCCCCCCTAGACACAGGTCCCTGCACTTGCCTTTGTTGAATTTCATGAGGTTCCTCTCCTCCCATCTCTTCCTTCTAAAGGGCAGCAAAGCCCTCCAGCACATCAGCCACCCCTCACAGTTTTGTATCATCAGCAAACCTGCTGGGGATGCACTGTCTATTCATCTAGACCACTTATAAGTAGGTTGTATAATACTGTACCCAATATTGACTCCTGCTAGACACCATTAGCCTCCATCTAAACTTTGAACCACTGATTCTAACCCTCTGAGCTCTGTCTTTCAGTCAGTTCTCAATCCACCTCACTGTCCATTCGTCAGAATGACACTTCCTGAACTTCCCTGTGAGGATGTTATGGGAGACAGTGTTGAAAGCCTTGCCGAAGTCAAGGTAGACAACATCCACTGCTCTCCCCTCATCCAGTCATTCCATCATAGAAGGCTATCAGATTGGTTGAGCATGATTTCCACTTGGGGAATCCATGCTGACTCCTGACAACCTTCTATCCTCCATAGGCTTAGAGATGGCAGCCAGGATGAGCTGCTCCATCACCTTTCCAGGGCTGGAGGAGCTTTCCAGGGACTTGTTTGTAGTTCTCTGGGTCCTCCTTCTCGACTCTTTAAAGACTGAAGTGACATAAGCCTTCTTCTAACTCGCAGGCCTCTCTCCTGTTCTCTGCATCCTTTCAAAGATGACTGAGAATGGCCCAGCAATGATATCTGACAGCTCCCTCAGGACCCAAGGGTGCATGCAGCCAGAGTTGTGGTTTTTATGTTTTCCTAAATGATCTCTAAGCAGATCCACCTTCACCATGGGAAAGTCTCCCTTTCTCCAGACCTCCTCCATGGTCTCTGGGGCTGGTCTTTGCAGTAAAGACTGAAGCAAAGAAAGCATTTGGTAACTCTGCCTCCTCTGTATTATTCACCACCAGGGACCCTGCCCCATTCCCTACCAGGCCCACATTTTCCCTAGTCTTCCTTTTGCTACTGATGTATTTGAGGAAGCCCTTCTTGCTGTCCTTCACAACCCTTGCCAGATTCTATTCCAAATGGGCCTTGGCCTTGCTAGTCACACCCCTGCATACTCTGACAATGTTCCTATAATGCTGTAAAGTGCCCTGACTCTGCTTTCGTCTTCTATGCACTTCCTTCATCTCTGAGTTTTAGCAGGAGTTCCATGTTCTTCCATGCAGCTACATAAAGACTAAACTTCCTGCCCTATAGACAACAACTTCTGTATACAGATGTAGGGATGAAAGGCTTTCCTTATGATACCACGGAGTTCAAGTGGTGAAGAACGATCATATTTCTATAGTGATCTGCTGCTGCAGG